ATGATATTATTTATATTTTTTAGTTATACATGTTTTAGAGGATACCTCCCTTAACATCCTGACCAAGTTTCGTTTGTTAATTCCACCTGGTTTTCTTAAAACACAAGGTGCGGCTGACTACTAAAGCCCACCCCCACCTTTTTTTTGTACGCGGGGGATGCCAAACTAAAATTTTCCCCACAATAATAGTCAACACTTAAATGGCTGCTGACTGACAGTCAACCTCAAAAATATTTGCCTGGAAATTTAAGCAAAACTGTCGATTTTGATCGCCAACGTGGCCATGCATTAGGGAAGACCCCTAGAGAAAAACATCGAACATCGAAAGGAAAAAATCGATGTTTGAAATTAATTCAAAATCATCGATGTATCGCTATTACACATTCAATTTTCCCCTTTCAATTTTCAATACTCTCACACTTTTTCACTAACGCACTCTTATTTATTGCTTGAATGGGTGACTTGCTTTCAATTTTTCCCTTTCAATTGAGTTTCAATTTTGCTTTCAATTTTGCTCAGCTTTTCAGCATTGGCGTGCGAATTTTGTGGAAATAAAAAAATACTAAGGTTATGCATGGTACAATGTTAATCTACAATGGAATTACTATGGAAAATTTCAGAAGCTAGTTAGTTACATTGTTTTCTTGAAGACGGCATGTTGATAATGAAATTGCTTCTCAAATCGAATGCAGCCTACGTAATGGCTTTAAATTTTTATGATTTTAGACAAGCAAAGTGTGTGAGGAAATGGAAAGGCAAAACTGATTGTGTGTCATCAGCGTTATATCGACGTATTAGACCTGGAATACTATAGCTCGGAACACTTTGACGACTTTTTTATTAAAAATTTTCATTATTTATCAAGTATTGATTTTTATGGAAAAAGCGCCGCAGGAGAAAATTTGTAATAAAATATCGCGCGATTTTTTATTAAAAATTTTCATTTTTTATGGAAGTATAAATTTTTATGGGAAAAGCGCCGCAAAAATTTTTATTATTTATCGAAGTATTGATTTTTATGGAAAAACCGCGTGATTTTTTATTAAAAATTTTCATTATTTATCAAATTAACGATGTACGTTTTCTACATTTGTGTAATTTGAACTACAATAACACCAGTAAATATTATTTCCACCCGAACAAAATAATACCGTTATGATCAGGAGTAAGACCCCTATCGATCCTAATATTATTATTTTTAATAAGGGCAATATATATACACTTATACTTCCTAATTATACGCACTTATTTGTGTATTTTTTTTAACGTATGGTAGCATACATTTTGTGTTACTGTCAGCCATTGTTATTTCTGCTTGTTTGTGAAATGTGCAAACGTTTGTGAAGACATTTATAAACGCGTTTTACTTAATTTATTAATTAAGAATTGTATATTAAAGTGGAAATCTCAGGCCGGGGTTTTAATGCAACTATTTTGCCGAAGTGTGCACATAAATAAAGTGTTTATTGTGTGAAATAGCGCCGAGAGGTTAGTTCAATTTACAAACTTTAACAACAAATAACTTAAAAACTAGAAGCCTGCTGCGGCTAAAAGTATATATATTTGCAATCAGGAGAACTCCCTCTATCGTTCCATAGCTACCTTAATGCGGAACTCCGGGGATGCCAAACTAAATTGCAGCCAAAAATAACTAGATTTTCGAATATTATCAGCGCATCGTTGAAAATGGACCCGAATCACGATTTTTTGAAAGAGTTTTAAGATTGCTATGAGATGCAACGTTGTCTCCGGGACAGAACTAGTCCAGAGTACGTGATGCGTGACTGAAAAATAAAATTAAATGAAGAATTGTTAAATATGATGAAAAAATACAAACAACAATGCAATGTTAAAGATGCAAAAGAAATACATACTATTCTTTCGGCCTATAGAAGATAGCTTAAAAGGATTAAGCAATCAAAGTTAGCAATACTTTTGGTGGTTCGACCAAGGTAAATTCCTTCATAATCTTTTTATCCTCCATCTTTCCTTAATGAATTTGACGGCTTCAAAGAGGATTTTATATCATACATGACTGATATTTCGACCGCTACAAGGCGTCAGTCAAAACTGATAAATTCTTTACTGACAAACTTGATGGACAAAGTGTACCACCCATTAAACTCGTAAAAGCTTCGTAAACCCCGTAAAGCTCGTAAATTTACGAGCCTCATCAAAGAACTGTCAAAATTGTTATGTTATGCAGTGTTTTTGCTGCATTTAAAATGCAACATTTAGCGCTTTCGAACACATGTTTTCGAAGAAAGAGCGTTCATGCTATCGCATTTAGCAAATGTACATTTACGCTAGTTCGAAATCGTATGCTTTTGACAAACAGCCGTGTTCCAGGCGCTTATTCAAATCCGTATCTATTACGATCAATTCTCACGCAGGATTTAAGGGGCAAAACCCTACTAAAAAGAAAATAATTAATTTTAAACCGAAAATACAATACAAAAACTTGAATTGTTTTAACCATAACCGAACATTTGTTTGTGTATATATTCATTTGTCGGTGATGTCAATTACAATTTCCTCACTTAATTAGGAAACAAAACAAACAGAGTTGATCACAAATTGCATCACATCCATGTTGAATTTGTGTAACTTTTCTTTATCCAAATAATGTTAAATAATAAATGAAATCTCGATCGGCGATCACTGAAATGCAGCTAGCCACTATACGCAAAAAAGCATTGTTGCCACTTTTTCTCATTAAACCATGTTCGAATCGGGGAAATTTTGGAAGATCACAGGTTTGCTTTTAGCATTTAGATTCTTAATGCAAAAATGGAGTTGCATTTAGTTGCATTTAGGTGACGAATTTTGTATGGATAAATGTACATTAAGTTTGCAACAGAAATATATTCCATTATTTCTTCAGGAAAGAGTGAGGCAACAGGCTGTGAAGTATCAAAAATGTCAAAATTGCTTGGACATACACACGAAATAATGCCAATTTTCCCTTGACCGTTTTCTTGAGAGCTGCATACAGGGCATTAAGAATTAACGAGTTTAAGGGAATACCCTATCTATAAGCATCACAGAAAAAACGCTGGAAGGAGGTGCATGGGTAACTTCCGTCCATAAATTGGAGCGCTAGCGTTGCGTTTTCCATTGTCAACGAGTGTGAAAATTCAATTTGCTTGCCACTAGCGAAGCATTATTGTTGAATACACTGAAAGTGAACGGCCGTGAGGATTTTTGGCAGTCGTTTAGCGTTTGACGCGCCAATTTAGGGACGGCAGTAAGTGAAAATCTACGAGCACAATTTTTATAGATAAATACAGCTCTTTAAATATAAACCTTTTGTATAAATTCGCCTTGAGCGCAATTTTGTATTCAAACGGTCCAGGATGTATGTATATATATATATAGCTGTGTTTTCTTGCGTTATCCAGCTCCGTTTCACGATTACTTCTCACGGAAACCATCTGGAAAAAATTGAACTCACTAAATGCGGAAGAGCACATTCAAACGGAATAGTATTCACTTAAATAAATATTTAACATAAAGGCTATTTTTTTAAATCACGTTAAGAGAAACAAAAGGCAGAATATCTGTTTGTGTATATAATCATTTGTCAGTGCTACCATAGCGGGCAGAAAATTTTTAGTTAAACCAAACAAACACTGCGGATCATAAATTGAACCAGATCTCTATCAGATCTCGAATCGTCACATGCGTTATCGTATTACTCGTCACGTAAAAATACATTTGTCGGATTATGACATACGTGAACGTACTCTTTATTCCACTCAGCTTATACGACTGACGTATTACGCACTTTTCTTTCGTATGGTTTTCGATCCGTGGACGGATGTTACGATTCGAGCTCTGTTGTTGCATATGCGTGCATAGTTTTTATCCGGATCCCAATCATTGGCCAAAGAAACACAGCATATGTTTCTGAGGGTATGTCAGCCCAATTCTGAATAGAAATTCTCTAGGAATTTTTCCTCATTTCTCTTTTCTCCTATCATGAATAAAAATTCCCTAAGAATTTTCCTCTTTTCCTATTCTCCTATTCTAAACGATCTTCGAAAAAGGGAAAATGTATTTCGGGAATAAACTAGGTATTACGAATGTCAAAAAGGAGGAGAATTGATTTCGTTATTCTGGGAGAATTTTCACCGGTATTTTAAAAGGGAACTGCTACAAAAATGTAAGTTAATTACAATTTAAAGGAAATTTGGTGTAATAAAACGTTTAAACCTTTCATTTTAGGTCCAAAACAATAAAAAAGAAACAGGTAGAAATCTGAATAACCCTAAGGGAAGCTAGGCCGGACATCGCTCGCGGCTTCCATAAGGGCAACAGAGAGGACGTTTCCCGGTTTTGGCGGAACGCTGAGGTGGAACTAAACTCCGCAGGCCCACGCACAAAAAATACGACTGAGTGGAAAAAGGTTTGTAAAAGTGATTAAATGTGTACTTTTTGCTTTAAGTTATCGTTTTACTTACTTTTTATAGGTGTGGGCCGACCAAAAGAAATATGTGCGTCAAAAGGCGGCGCAAAATTTAAATGCCAGAAAAGGCACGGGTGGTGGCCCAAACACCCAACAGAAGCTTTCTCCGAATGAGGAAGTCATATATAAACTGATTGGGATGAAGGAAAGTGTTGAAGGCTTATCTGCGTTTACGTTTGCATTGCCAATTTCAAGTGTGTCCAAGAGCAATGCAGAACATGAGCGAGACGAGTCTGACCTTACAGAATATTTAGAGGAAGTCGAAATAGAGATACAAGAGTCTCAAATAAGTCCACTTGTTACAGTCGACGAGCCATCGCCTCCACCACCGCCAGTAAATGTAGCTCCAGAAAAGAGACCTACTGTAAAGAAGCCGAAAGCATCCTCCGACCTTCTTGAAGCTGAACTAAAGACTCAGCAAGCCTTACTAGAAAAAGTTACTGGAGCAGTTACGAGTTTAACCGAACATCACGAAGAGCAGAAAAGGCACTTCCGAGAAATGGAGTGGCTTAAAAGAGAAGAAATAACTGAAATGCAGCGCCTCAAAAATAAAGAAATTGCTGAAATTCGGCGGCACAATAACCTCATGGAGCACTTACTGAAGATAAAAACGTAAAGTATTTAGTTTAATTATTATTTTTATACAATTTTCTAGTGTTTTGAACGCATGTACATATATATGTGTAACTTCTTTTAATTATTACTAATTTCTCACAGAAGTATCGTAACAGCTTTCATTATTCCATCCATGATATTTTAAAGTCATGAAAAAACTCTCGCGGTCAATTTTATATATTTAATTTTTATTTTTACGAAACGATACTTTGATTTCCCAATACCAGGCGCTCATGCATATGAAGTAGCAAGTTTTCTATACGCATAAATTTGTTTGTTGAACTTTTTAATTCGTTTGTAGAAGCCTTTGAAGTTCTAAAGTAAAATTTTGGAAATTTAAAAATTTATACAAACAATTTTGTGCGTAGAAGTAGAAAACTTGTTATTACACATTTATGAGCGCTTGATATTGGGAAATGAAAATATCATTTTGATAACGAAAAAGCCGAATATTATCTTAGCTTCCAGAGTAACCGGATTTTTCTTTTAGGTATCCGGATATTCGAATGAAGTTCCCAGCCCTACCTTGACCCCATGCACCTAATTAAGGGTTAAATTTATTTGCCAAAAGATTAATTTTCTTTGCCAAAAGGTTAAATTTATTTGCCAAAAAATTAATTTTATTTGCCAAAAGATTAAATTTATTTGCCAATAGATTAAACTTAATTGCCAAAATATTAATTTTATTTGCCAAAAGTTTAACTTAATGTGTCAATACTATATATAGAAATGTTAAGCCAGTTTCTTTAGATTTCAAACGACGTTAAGATGAAGCCTCTACGATGAGCAGAACCCGAGATATAACGATTTGAAGAAGTATATGATTAGTCAGAATTACGAAAAAATTCAAACTCAACAAATTCAAAAATTGTGGAGGCTGTGACTTTAGGGGATGTTAGTGATGCTTGCCTCTCAGCAAGAGCTTCTGGCGAAGCTTCGGGAATCGCACCAGTATCGGTGTCTGGAGCGATATCGTAACACTGGGCAGAACGCTCTTCTAATAAGCTAGGTTTCAGATAACCTACGTGCCGCTTCCAAATTCTGCCATCTGGAAGACTAACGGTATACGTTGCGGGTGACATCGGGTTCGTAATTTTGCCTTGCATCCATCTTCCTTTCATCAGGTCTTTCACCATCACGACGTCGCCATGTTGCAGGGTACAACGCCGTTTGCCAGGCGTATTCAATTTCTTTCGCTCTTGTTGTTTAAGTACGTGTTCACGTAGATTGGGTCTGATTAAGTCCAATCGAGTTTTCATGGTTCGGCCGAGTTGGAGTTCAGCAGCAACAGTTTGGTCCTACAGTGCGGAAAAGCACGATAATGCATCAAGAATTTGGATAAAGCGTCCTCTCGAGTTAGGCCTTCCTTTAAGAGAATTTTGAACTTACTTTCGAGGGTACGAACTCCGTTTTCGGCTGCCCTATTCGATGCTGGGTGATATGGAGCAGCCTTTATGTGTAGCATCCCTATGGCTTCAAAGAACTTTTCTAACTCGTCCGAGGTAAGACTTAGGCGATTATCTCTGACGATGATCAGAGGATAACCCCAGGTTGCAAAATATTCACTCAACGTTGCTGCAGTGGCCTTATAACTTATATTTCTCATTTCCTTGACGTCCATCCATTTGGAACGCGCGTCGATGATTAGTAAGTACATGCGTCCCCGTACAGGTCCCAGGAAGTCGGTGACTCTGACCATCAGGCCATTTCCCACTGTGTAATTCACTTCTGGGTGGTCGCTGCAGTTTTCTAGATACAATCGGCAAGCTTTGGTGATCTTTTAGATGTCTTCATCCACACCTGGCCACCAAATATACGAGCGAGCGAAGGCTGCAATTTTTACTATGCCCATATGAAAACTGTGAAGTTCATGGAAAATAAAATCTCTCAGAGCGCGGGGAACTACCACTCAATAGCCCCACATTAAACAACCCCTATCAATGTAGAGTTCGGTCTTTTTACGCTTGAAGACTTTAAATTGAGCTTCAACCTTCGCCATCCATAACGTAGTTGCAAATCTTGGATAGAACGGCGTCTTTTCTCGTCTCAGTTTTAATTTGTTTAACATCAATACATTGTACATCATCGTTAACATAATTTAAATAAGTATAGTATACACTCTGACTCTCCTCTCTCGGGACAGACAACCAGCACTGTAGTTATCTTTACCTCGAATATCTTGAAGATCAAACTCATAGGCAGAAGGGAAATATTTGTATTCGGCTTGCTGCGTAGAATGGCAATCCCTTTTTAAGATCAAAAATGAACTTCAGTGGGTTATGGTCTGTCTCGATTATGAATTTCCTACCATATACATATTAGTGGAACGATTTAACAGCAAAAATTATACCTAAGGCTTCCTTTTCATGCTTTTTTTCAGCATGAGTTAATACTCTAGAATTAAATGCAATTGGTTTACTAGTTTTATCAGGATACATTTGCAAAATTACCGCTCCTATTCCCACTGGCTGGCAGATGTTATTTTGATTGGAAGAGACGTTAAACCGTCACTAGAGCTCCATTTATTTTTCATGTTAGTGAACACTTTCTTGTATTTTGTTGACCACGGCCATTTTGTATTTTTCTTTAGAAGTGAATAAAGTGGATATACTATTCCCTAACAACATTCGTTAGCGCCAAATCAGCTGTTGTCGTTAACGATAACAAAGGCCGCTTATTTGACGACGTCTAATATAATATAATATAAATTAAATAACAAAAAAATAGTTTGTTAAAACTTGTCTATATGGGTTCCGGTTATAATTTTTCAATAGGACGTAAAACAAATGTAGAAAACTGGAAGCTAAAAGGTGATAAGTCAATTTTTTAATCTTACAGGAACTGAATATGCCTTGAATTTAAAGGAATTGAATAATTAAAGTTTTCAATTTAATACGTGTACATACATACATACGTCTTATTAAAAATATGAATATCATATAACTTTGTATGTGCATATTTAAATATTTCTTTATTAATCATCATGACACTAGCATAATAAAATCAGTCTTGAAAATAAATATGTACAAAATGTGAAAACCTTGATTTTTTTATATTAAAAATCTTTTCCATGTTAAATGTTTGTTAAATGTTTTTTTGTAAACTTTTTATTTACAGCTGCGAGCAAAATATAGCAGCAAAATTCAAAATTATGTTGTTTTCTACTTATGTGTATTTATATTTATTTATTTTTAATAATTTTTTTTTATAGTTCCATCTACTATATAACAACAGAAACCAAATAAATACAAGTTTCAAAGCTTGAACAAAATTCACAAAAATCAATCAAACATAAAAAGTTTTCACCAAGATTTCGAACGTTTTATTCAGAATCTCTATAAGATTTTCGGGTATGCAGTTTTGTAGCCCATTCAATTTTAGTCTGATAAAGTGCAAGTTTCAAGTCGCTAAAAGTTACCGTTGATTTGTTAGAATTTTTTTTGTGGAAGGGTTGCGCATTTTCTCCCAAACAAAATGCTTGTGAACTTTGTGCTCACACGAGCGCCTTAGCATATGCAACGGATTTGTACCCATTAGCGGCAGCACAGTTAGTGAATCGCACAATCGTTACTGCAAACAACAAAAATTGTTAGCTTACAACTCGACAAAACGCATTGTTAAAAGTTAGTGAATCGCGCTACTGGAGCAGAAGCCACCCCAAAGCATAACCGTTCATATACATAAAGACCTTTATGCGTAGTTATTGTTGTTAATTTTTGAGATTTTTCATTTAAAAGCACTTGTAAATAAGCATGACTGAAATCAGTTTTTCTAAAAAATGTACCGCCGTTTAATTTTGTTAGTCTTGAATTCTAGGTATAGGGTATCGGTCAATTTCTAAACATTTATTAACAGTTATTTTATAATCTCCACATAACCGGGTCTGTCCATCGGATTTAACAATAGGAAAAGTTAACTGGCTTGATTACATCTTCATCAATTAATCTTTTAATTTCAACGACAATTCTTCATTTTTATAGCAACCCAATTTTTCCGTAAATACCATTGGAAACTCTTTTAGTAATTTATCTGCATTGAAGCTGCTACTATCAACATTGTTTGCATTTTCTATTAAGTCAATCATTCCATTTGATATCAGCTTAAATATTTTTAAATCTTTCATCCATTCACGACCGACGATGGGGGTTGAGCTACCTGGCAAAACAAATAACTGAAGTTTCTTATTTTGATTCTCATAATTGACATTGACCGTAATTACTCTGCGAGGAATAATTGGGTCGCCAGTGTACGACTTAGATTTTCTCATTGTACCTCCCAATCGTAAATCGTGAAAAATTTTGCTATTTCTGAATTCTCTTTCTGAAATTGCTGATATTGGTGAGCCTGAATCTAATTCAAATTAAAGTAATTAATTTTCAACATTAATTTCGATATAAATAGGACTACAATCAGTTTTAACATCTTTATACCCTTTCACTTCCTTAACAAATTCGTTTTCGTTAATCTCGAAAAATGTATAACAATTAGCAAAATCATCTTGTCACTTGCATGACTTCACCTAAATAGTTTTGCTTATTTTTCGCTTTCTCTTTTGCCTTAAACCCATTTCTTTTCATTCAGTTTCTTTGCTCATTGTTTTCATAATTTTCAGGGTTTTCTTTTCTTTGTTTAAATTTACGAATTCGAATTAAATGCCCCTTTGTTTACAAAATTAACAATTATAACACCTGAATTAAATTTTTTCTTTTGAGTGCCCAAATTTAACACAACATAAACAGGAAATTGTCTTCTCTGCACTGCCATCACTTGTTTTCTTAATTGAGTTAACTACACCTGTTAAGAGCGAAATACACCACACAAGCGGCTTGTCAAACATTCTTCAAACCTACTTTTCCCATTTCGCCATACACCATGCAAACATGACTCGTTCAAGCAAAGAATTTTAGTTTTCTTCCAGCTCGCAATGCTAAATATTGTGGTTTTCTTTCATTTTCCTCTCTTACGTCCTTACTCGGTGAAAATTTCGTTGCGAATGAGGCGATTTTGCTATACACAACGCAAGCGGTTTGATCAAACATCAACATGGCGGCCAGAAAATCAAAAAATTTTGATTTTTGCTCAAATTNTTTAGTCTAGTCGGACTCATTTCCCCTGTGTCTCTTGCCGCTGCTTCTTCTCTGGCTGCCAATGCTACTACCTTCCAGTATGTTGGCTCCGTCATCGATAACATCTTTTGTCGAATGCTGTTACTACGGATTCCGGACACGATTCTGTCCCTTATCATGTCATTAAGGGTTTAGCCGAAA